CACTTTACATAGACAGTGGATTCACAAATCAGTTCTTTTTATGGGATTTGTTGACAATAAAATACAGAATATCACCAGACTTGTTCATGAAATAGTGGCAGAGCAGAAGTTAAGTTTGTTGCAGATTTGCAGGACTGAAGAAGGAGACAGGCCTCGTTGGAAAATCAGTCATCCATTTATTGTATCCCCTCCTCACGACTTCTTTTATTGAAGTAATATTTCTCTCTGGTGGAGCAGATTTAAAATTTAAAAACTCTTTGAAGAGGATGCAATAAATTTGGAAAGTATGAGAGCTGGTGATGTCATGACATGTCATTTAACTTCATTATTACTTTTTAGGATTGCTCAAATATTGTGGCGACGCTAAGTAAATATTTTCTGATCATGAGATGCTGTTTCCTAAGATCATTACCGCGCACAGTAGTTCTCTTTGACCAGCTGCTGCCTCTGTATATGGTTACAGCCAGGCCAGACACAGCAGACTCTTTCTGTTTTATAGTCATCAGGCCACTGACGGTCCACTTCCTCTCTAAATGAAGGGCACAGTGCAGTAGTGCACTCTGCAGCCATAGACAATAAGTAGTTGTACCCAAAAGGAGACTCTTGGCTGCTGTGTCACTCAGACGAGTGCAGGGCTCAAACACCATTAGTTACAGTATGGGGTCTGTTTTCTGGCTGAAGTAATGGAGCAGTAAAGGAAATTCACAGTTTTTTCCATGTTGGTTTTCCATCTTTTCTGTTTTATTTTAGATCCAAGGTTGCTTGTTCTTTAATCATTTATACCTTCCTGTTCATCCCTCCCTCCATCCTTTGATTTCTTTCCACTCTCTGTATGTATTTGTATGTGTGAATGACCATGGATTTGTCTGTGTACACTTCCACCTGGCAGCACATTTTACCAGCCAGGAAGTGAAATTCTTTTGTTTTTGTTTTTTATTCATTATTTTTACTGTGCTTTGGCTGGATTATTAATCACATTAAAAACAAGTAAGTTTCTTGTAAATGTTAAACAGACATCTGAAGACTTGAACAGAGGGGACACTTATAGTTGTCATTCCATCTTATGTACGATCAAATCAAATCAAATCAAATTTTATTTGTATAGCGCCAAATCACAACAAAAGTCAT